ATTCTGGGTCAGTTTTGGTAGGTTTTCGGGGCATTCCAGGAGGTTCATGAGGGCATTTGGGGACTGTTTTGGGCGTGTCTTGAGCTAGACGCTGGACGGCTTTGAGGGAGGCAGTCGCAGCATGTAGGCTGTTTTCCATCAAGAGGATTCATGGAGCATGTGGAGGGCAGATCATGCGGCCATGTCCATGTTAGCACGTACCATGCGAGTGAAAACTTCGTGCATGCAAAGCAGCTTCTGAAGCAGTTTTTTGAGTTCCTCGAACGCATTGCTGAACTTGCCTGCATGGTCCGTACTTGTCCTCATCCCAAACCAGTGTCCCACGCCCTGTCCATTGTCGAGCTTTCGTCCCAGCCCGTGGCTCTCAAGTTATTGTCATCTTTTTTAGGCGCTCCGCTGCGCGGCAGGTGTGCGAGACGCCTTCGGAACTCCTATCTACAATCGCGGCTCCCGATGTCTGTAGACTTCGGGAAAGCCCAAACCCAAGTTGTGGGAAGAGGGCGATGAAACCACCCCAAACCCTAAGCCCTAAACCCCAAACCAAAGGTCAGCGGCCGGTGCTGAGTGAGGAGGGCGGTCTGGTAAGAGATAGCTTCAGATAGCCCAGGCCATGACTGGCTCATGGCTGTCGGAAGTGTCTGCAGAGCACTCCCGCCTGTACATAATGCGTTTCACACAGGATATTTACCTACAATCCCCATGGGGGTTCATGGTTTTTTGGGTATTGGGGTTATATTGGGATAATGGAAAATAAAATGGAAACTACTATTTAGGGCTTAGGGTTCCCATAATGTCCACTGTGCATAGGTGGTTTTGGGTCAGATAGTCATGCGGTCATGCAATGTAGTTGCTGCTAATGGTACGAAGGCAAGATGCGATCTGCCGAAAAGAAAAGCGTGATGCCCGCTCAGGAACTGTAATTATTCTTCTTCTTCTTCTTATTACTAGTCTTGCTATTATTATCATAATATCATAAGTATGATTGTTATTATGACTATTATTATTGCTATTACTTTTTAGTATTATTGTTCTTAGCATTACTCTTATTTCTATTATTACGGGGCTGAGCCAGGGATTGGCAATTTTGGGCCAGGTGGGGTTCAAAGACCAGCCATGGGCCAGCTCTATTTGGGGGGTTTCCCAAAATTAGGGGCACTTTAAAGGGGATATATAGGGGCAGCATAAGGTTTAGGGTGTCCCAAAATTAGGGGTACCATTTTGGGGGTCCCATATAATATTTTGGGGTCTATATTTGGGTCCCCCTATTTTGGGAAACTACCAGGTATGAACGAAATGTCAGGGGCGGAAACGTGAGCACAACCTCACTCTGCTGTGAGCATATGAGCTATAGTCTAAACTTCCTTCAGGGGGTTATATAGCGGATGATTTAGGGGACCATTATAGGGTTCTTAATTGGGATACTAGGAGTTTAAACAGTGGCTCATCTCATAATGTGTGTTGCTTCGAGTGGACTACTAAATCATCGGATGATCCTTGATGCCATCTCCGACTAGGGCCATGTCTTGGCCTTCTTGCCCGAATCTGTCGGCACTACCCACCAAGCAAAAGGTGAAGCGCAAAAGCCACTCAGAGCATGAGAAGCTAAACCCCTATATACCCCCACCTTCCATTTCATTTTCTTCTCCCTTTTGATCTCGAGTTTTCCCACGGACCCCTATTTACCCCCCACACAACCGTATATAAACCGTATATTTGGACTTGAACAAGACTTTGCTGCTCTGGACTCCCACCTGCAACTGCTGGGGTTGCGGGGTTTAGCCTCACTGAGAACAAAGAAAATCAAGGGACCTTGCCTTTAAGAGGGTTGATAGCGGATATGTAGCGGCTTTATAGGGTTATGTAGGGTTGAGGGTTTCTCAAAAGGAGTCATGATGATACAATGGAAAGTGGCAAAGCGAGTGCGCAAGATCTTGAGGCCTTGCTTTGGGTTCACGCATTTGCAACAGTTTCTGTTGGAAACTATACCATTTGGGGAGCTGGAAGCCGAATGGCAGGAGAGTGAGTCACCCGACTCAATTCCTGGAAATTGGTCAGTACAAAACGTCTTACCTGAGCTCGGCAAAAGTCAGTCAAGACTATACGTACCCTAAACCCCGAACCCTAAACCTCGTGCGGCAATAGCATCCTAAGGACTCGCGCCTTGGAGAAAAGGTCCCACAAAAAAAACAAAAAAAAACTAAACCGTTGATGCTCTTGAGCTCCGGTGCACCTGGCTTCAGCCCCTTGACGGGCACTGGGCCGAGGGCCCTGGAGCGGTCCGGGGACGCTGCGCAGAGGCTCCTCCTCTGCCTTGAGCGCTGCTTCCTTTTTCAAATGTACTGCTTCTGTTGGGATCCCTATATTATATGATATATCCTTTTATAGTATAGTATTTAGTATAGTATAGTATGGTATAGTATACTATAGTACTTTCCATTTTCTTTTCCATTATCCCTATATTACCCCCATATATATAGTCCCCCTTAAGTAGATAGAATATGGCTTTGGGTATATTAAAATAAGATCCCCATATACCCCATATTCTATCTACTTAAGGGGGACTATACTTGTAGCACTTCCAAAGCCGCCCCATTTGTCTGCAGGTCCATGAAATGGGGAGCCTCGAGGCGCTGCTGTTTGTGCAAGTTCAGGTGCCTCCAGAACAATTCTAGTAGTTTCCATTTTATTTTCCATGATTCCCTATATAACCTCAATATATACCCTATTCTACTATGCTAGTTTCCATTTTCTTTTCCATTATTCCCTATAAAACCCCAATATATACCCTATATTACTTTATTATAATTATAGAAGTCTCCAGCAGAGGCAAAGTCGGCGTGTTGAAATGGCTGTACCCTCATGTAGGAGCATGGCCAGCTCAAATAAGTAACAAGATGCCTTTAAGAGGGTGTATAGGGGTTACATAGGGGACTTTTATGGGTCATGTAAGCTTTAGGGTCCTCGATATAATCCGTGAATTTTGTATCCTTTTAATCCACTTTTTTCTAGTAGTTTCCATTCTCTTTTCCACTATCCCTATATCATCCTTGCAAAATCCTTGTAGAATCTGTAATTAAGTGCCACCTAGGCAGTTTCATGCAGATTTGCAAGGTGAACCGCCAAGGGCGTAGCTGGTGACAAGTTCACGAGCTTCAAGGCCTGTGACGGGTTTACGGGTTTAGGGTTTAGGGTTTTAGGGTTTAGGGTTCAGGGTTTAGGGCCTCAGAGACCAAAGGGTAAGGACAGTGGAAAAGAAAATGGAGACCACTATATATCTTGGGATTAGATAGGGATAATGGGGGATCGTATTGGGATTATAATATTACGGTTATCACCACTACTATTATTATCATTGTTAGTATACGTATATATATATATATTCATTATTAGTATCATTAGCTTTACCGTTCAAGTTGGATTTCCCAGATATCAAACTGAAGTCGAAGGCTGATTGGTAGGGTCTCTTTCAGGCAGAGACTGCAGTGCAAGGAGGGATGCAGTAGAATCAACCGCAGAGCAAGATTGTTCAACCACCAAAAAACACTACTCATCTGAGCAGACACATTTGTTCATGTAAGAGAGTATGGAAGACCAGGCGCCAGTATTTTTGCATCTCAGTTCGGGGCTCCTCTTGGAAGTAGACAGGGGCCGCGGATTGAACAAGATAGGCCATACTTTCCTGTGCAGTAAGATCCCGCACACTTACATGGCGAACTAGATTATGTCGATTTTGTCAGTGTAAGCTCCACGATCAAATGTTTGGCGAACCAGATGAGGGGTCGCAGATTCAAAAAACAGCATAAGGGCCAGGCCACAAACAGATGTCGTCGCTCATCTGTTGTAAGCCTCACCGCGCTGAAACCCACCAGGAGATCAAGCTGCAATAA